AGCAATGAACATTGAATCAGAGCGCATTTAGTGATGGATGGCTTAGGAATTTCAAGACTCGTCATGGTATTAGACAGTTTGTTTACATTTTTGTCTAGTGTTGACTTTATTTTTCTTTAAAACTGCTCATTTTGATAATTAAAGCATGCTATATTTGATAATGAATAAACTATCAAAATGTACCTGTTCATCTCTTCTTTATTTCTCCTTAAATTTTAATTTTAAAAGTACTGCCTGAGAATCCGGAAAATCCGAAAATTCGGACCGACCCAATCCCCAAGCAGTCCGGATTTTTGGACTTCTACTGTATTCTTAAAAAGATAAATGATGTGCTATCCTTAAATGGCATTCCCAATCCATCTCACTTTTTTTTCTTTACCATTAGTGGTTAGCTACTTCTATTGTTCCATTTATTAACATTAAATAACATTACTTAAAACATAAATATTCCTTTTTTTACATTAAATTTACTACATCTACAACCAGGGTCTTATTTTCTTCATTTTCTCGTGTAGAACTATCGTCCCGGACTCCCGGCTGTAAACACAAACGAAAACAATGGCGTCCCATCTTCTCTTGTGTGACCATATTATTATTCATTTATATTGTATAAGGTGCATTCAGAAACATTATTTAAAGAATATAGTTTGCATTTTTCATTAATTGTATTGTTTTGGGGGGAAAAGAGGGTAAAAAGCCACACAAAAGATATGAAAAGGTCACACCTGGGAATGCATCTCATTATTATTACTTTATATTAATGGTAATTAATGATTCAAGATACGATGATTCACCTCACACTGCAATATTGGAGGACACATTACGGTCATTATTCAAGGCTTTACAGTACAGTAGTAGTAGTAGTAGTAGCAGTAGTGTTCTACGCTTGTGGTCGCCTCCCACAAGTAACGGTCACTTCATGTAGTGACAGCCGACCAAGTGAGTATATATAACTAATCTTACATCAGTGCAACCATAGAAATAGTGGTTATTTCTGCCAAGGATATGTGAACAAGTGTTAGGTGTGACAATTCTTACTCCCAGTGTATCACTCTGTTATGTGGATTGTCGCCCACAAGGAGGTGGCATACACACCCAAGCTCGCACGTATGTCCCTACAACCCGGACACAGCAGTCCAGCCTGTCACCTCTCTGCCCTTTCCTCATAAGAACTAGTTTCTTCTTCTGTATGGGACCAAAGCAGATGTCGGAGGCGGACGTAACTGTCGCCCAAAGTGAGGAACACTATGCCGGGTAAAAGACATTGTTGCGTCTGTGCTAGCCAGAACCAAAATTGCACTAGCTGTGAATGTGCGAGAAACAACCGACCATATGTGGTGTGCAGAAAGGGAAACAAGTGTCGGTTACCACATGGCAGGGAACCGACACAGGATGCCACAGTGGATATCCCCGGGACCCAGCCACCCGATGATATCCTAAATGATAGCAGTGAGTCTACTCCACCTGAAAATGTAGTACGAATTAACGCTGAGCCAATAGTAGCTGATGTCCATGAGGTGAATGAGAGACAGCCACCACAGTGGAATGGCATGTCGATGGAAAATGCAGACATATGGGTTAAAGAAACTTACTCAGAAATTGTCAGGTGGTCGCCAGCAAACCTGTTTGAACCACCCAAGTGTGCGGCCACCAAAGAAATGATTCGGGAGATGATTCGCCTCATCACCGAGTACACTCCGGACTGCTTCCTTGACCCTTTAGCTCTTCAAATATTGGCAATAATACCCCATCTATTCTGTCAGACGACACACACAAAGACTAAGTACAAAGAAAATGCGGCAGCAATGAAGAGAGGATTGACAATGTGGCAGAATGGGGCCTTTGATGATCTCCTATGTGAAGCAAGAACACTGCAGGAGAGACTAAAATTTATAGGAGACAGAAAGCAAAACACCGATGATGTTGCAAGAAAGTTTGGTAACAAGATGCGTGTGGGAAAAGTGTCATTGGCGGAAAGATCTCTCACAGAGGAATCCTTCAATGGAGTTCTGCCAATAAACAGAGACATTAAAACAACTGAAGGAAAAACATCCTCCTGAAATTGAAGACGAAGCTATCAGGTTCCAGGGTGACTATATCCCACCAAATGCTGTCATGTTCGAGAAAATAACAGGAGGGATGGTGTGGAAAAAGGCGCTGAAAACTCAGGGTAGGGCTGGCCCTTCAGGGTTGGATGCAAACGGTTGGAGAGTCGTCCTCAGCACTAACAAGTTTGGCCCCGTAGCAAGTGATCTCTGCACTGCCATGGCCGCCCTTGCAAGAAAGCTAGTAACCTAGTGCTGCCAACACCTCAATGCTCTGACGGCCTGCTGCCTCATTCCCCTGGATAAGAATCCAGGATGTAGGCTTATAGGGGTGGGGGAAGTGCTGAGGTGGATCATTGGAAAATGCATAATGGAGGTGGTAAAGGATGATGTCAGGGCCGCAGCAGGGAACCTACAAGTTTGTGCTGGCCACCAGGCTGGTGGGGAAGCTGCCATTCACGCCATGAAAACGATATTTGAGCAGCGTGATTATGAGGCCGTTCTCCTGGCGGACGCTTCAAATGCGTTCAACATACTTAAACGCAAGGCCGCACTGGACAACATCAAGTGTCCAAGCTTTGCAATGTATGTTGAAAACACCTATAGGAATCCATCAGACCTCAATATAGTAAACAACAAGGCTCTAAGAGGTGATACCCTCATACAGTCAATTGAGGGAACAATGCAGGGGGACCCTGTTGCAATGGCAATGTACGCAATAGGTCAAGCAAGTGGCATACGCTGATGGCCTTACAGGAGCAGGAAAAGTGGAGGACATCAAAAAGTGGTGGGACCTGATAACATCACGAGGTCCACAAATAGGGTACCAGCCAAACGCCAGCAAGTCCTTCCTCATTGTGAAGCCAGAACAATATAAACGGGCAATGGAGGTGTTCGGTGGAAGTGAGGTCAAAATAACAAAGGGTGGCCAAAGACACCTAGGCGCAGTAATCGGCACGACGAACTTCAAGACCGAGTACGTAACGGGAAAGGTGCATGAGTGGGTTAGGGAAATCCAAGCTCTGTCTGATATTGCACACACAGAGCCACATGCGGCTTTTGCGGCATTCACCCATGGAGTCAAGCATCGCTGGAACTACCTGATGCGCACTATCCCTGATATCGGACCCCTCCTCCACCCTCTGGAAGAAGCTATCAGCATTAATTTCATTCCCAAATTAGTGAAACATCTTCACTTAACCCCAGCAGAAAGATCACTCCTTGCACTACCACTGAGACTGGGAGGAATGGGATTGACCAATCCAGAGGAGATTGCTGCCACTGAACATCAAAACTCAGTTAAGCTCATGGCAGTCCTCACTGACCACATAATAGCTCAGAACGCAACAGGTGAGGTGGATACCATCGAAGTAAACAAGATTTGACGGTCCATTACGACAGAATGACAGCACAGCCAAAGTGAGAAGTTGCTGCAACTGATACTGCAAGTACCAGAGAATTTGAAGAAAAAAAGTAGCTATAGTGCAGGAGGTGGGCGCCTCGAACTGGTTAATTATGCTACCGATAAGGGCAAATGGCATCAGTCTCAATAAACAAGAATTTACAGATGCCATTGCTCTAAGGTCCGGTAAGCCAGTAGAAGGTTTGCCCTCCCAATGCGTGTGTGGCTCTTCCTATGATGTTGATCACGCCATGGTGAGCAAGATAGGGGGCTTCATATGCATGAAGCATGACAAATTAAGGGATCTCACAGCAAATATGTTGAAGGAAATCTGTCGTGATTTCAGGGTAGAACCGACCCTCCTTCCATTGGATGGTGAGAATTTCCAACATAGGACTTCAAACACATCCAACGAAGCCCGTGTTGACGTCAGTGCTCGAGGATTGTGGATGCGGGGACAGCGAGTCTTCTTCGACATAAGGATTTTTTATCCCATGGCCGCAGGTCACCGTAAATTAGTTCTTGATGCTGCACACAGGAGGAACAAGAACGACAAGATAAGGGTATACGGGGAGAGAATTCAGAACGTTGATCAAGGCAGCTTCACACCTCTGGTGGGATGGGACCAAGTGCAAGATGCTTCAACGCCAGACTCGCGGAGGTGCTATCCGAACAGAAGCAGCAGCCCAGAAGTTATGTTACAGCCTGGATGAGATGTTGACTGTCCTTCTCTCTCCTTAGGTCTACTTTGCTCTGCCTCAGGGGAACGAGAGCATCGGCCCCCAAAGCCAACAACAGTTGCACATATATACAAAAAAAAAAAAAAAATTGTTTTATAGTAGTAGTAGTGGATTCTGGACGCTGGACAGCGAGCTTTCTCGACATCAGGATTTGATCCATGGCTGTTTATCATCGAATCTAGCTCTCGTGCGCAAGCGATAGGAGGAACGAACGAGAGAAGGGCATATGGGGAGAGAATTCAAAATGTTGATCAAGGCAGCTTCAATTTAGTGTTCACAACCTCTGGTGGGATGGGCCCAAGCAAGATGTTTCTTTACGCCAGACTCTGAGCTGATCTCCGAACAGAAGCAGCAGCCCAGAAGTTATGTCACAGCCTGGATGAGATGTCGACTGTCCTTCTCTCTCCTTCGGTCGGCTTTGCTCTGCCTCAGGGGAACGAGAGCTTCTGCCCCTACTCCGACAACTGCTGCAGATATCGACTATGAGGCTACAGTCACTGAATGCCGCATGGATCTGCGGCTCAACTAATTTAACACAGATAGGATAGTTTCTTATGTATTAGGATATTTAATATTAAGGTAAATAAATGGTGGCGAAGGTGTGGCTATTGGGGGAGGCTGGAGGCCACTTTAAAAAAAAAAAAAAAAAAAAGTAGTAGTAGTAGTAGTAGTAGTATGTGTATGTGTATGTATGTGTGTGTGTGTGTGTGTGTGGACACTAATTCTCATAATACAACATTGCCTACATGAAACAAGTGCTGGGTAGTACAGTACTTTACTCCCTGACCCAAATCCTTGGTAGAAAGAGCTAACCTGCGGAGTCTCCCGAAGCGTCGCGTCATGTCTCCCGGAGACTGGATGAGGGTTGAGTACATGTTGGTGGCTACTTTAAGGATACACAGTAGCAGTGGTCCCAATATGGCCCCCTCAGCACCCCAATAGAAGATGCCTCCGGCCACTGCCAAGCCGGTCAGATAGGGATGACTTCCCCTGAAAGTCAAGAATCTAATATAACCAAACACTTTTAGTATTAAATGTGTCTCTAACACCTTCATGAACAATTCTTATCTTGGAGACAATATCACTTAACTTTGTTGCTTCTTACCACCAACACACAGCCTCTATCCTCAACTCCTAAAGCATGATTCATTCTGTTATATTCATTATTAACTCAAGACTAATAAGTTCCTCATAAGGCTGTATGCATGTGTTCTGCCTCTCACACCTAACTATGGGATCAGGGTGACTTACACACATATACAGTATTTAGTGCACAGTAGTCCTTATTTATTACAAATTTCCCTAACACACACTAAACACAGGCTTGGTGTCTTATAAGATGGGTGTTCACATACCTCGACAGTCCATCCCTCAAAACACTCTTCAAAAGTGAGGTGCTTCTCCAATTGGAGTTCTGTACTGTCATCCTGTTTGGTCCCTGAGATATGTCAGTTAATTGAGAATGTCCAAAAGAGAGCCACCAGACTGGTGCCTGTACTACAACACTTCAGTTCCCCAGAGAAATTAGAATACCTGCAGTTGCCCAGGTTATACTAATAGACGTCTATAAGCACTTTAGAGGACATTACTCAGTCAAGTGTTCATACCTGAGACTAGCAGATGTACACCCCACAAGGGGTCATAACCTCAGGGTGAAAATACCACTAGTTCAGAAAACTGTCAGGGTAAACTTTTGTGGAGTGAGAGTTACGAACTCTTGAAACAATCTGCCAGAGAGTGTTGTGATGGCACTAAGTGAGAGCTCATATAAGACAAGCTTTTCATAGTCACATGCTCGTGATAGTACAGTATCCACTTAACATAACTATCCATTTTACAGGAGTCTCTCAGTCCCAAGGTTTCAGTTGACAGATACTTTTCCATACACTATTATGTACTGTACAGTACATGAGTTTTATTTTTACTATCAAGAAAAAATTGACTTACCCTTTTATATCAGCATAAATGGCAGTGTCAACACAAGACATGGGCAACAGCTGAGCACCAAAGAGGAGTGCACCAAGTGTTGGTGAGCCACGACTCCAACACAGCTCCAGCACCCCGGGTAGTGCAGCCCAGTACGTACCCACCAGTGGCACCGCACCAAACACCGCACCCAAAACTGAGGAGATAAATTTAATAATGACATGACAGTACAGGAGCATATTACAGTAGTTACGCGGTGCTGCCTAGTAGTACGTCCCCACAAAACACGGTCATGGTAAGTTTATTAATTATACACCAAACAGTAAGACAAGGTTGTTACCCATCCATTAACACAGCCAAAAGTTCTACTCACTTCATATACTTTTATGTTTTCTTTCTCTGTTTTATCAATCAGCTAACAGTCTTGGGTTCAGTTCCTGACCAGAATGGAGGACTGAGGTCCTCTATCTTGTCCTCAGTAATAAAGTGAGTACTGAACTGTACAGCTGTGTTCACTGATGGTGGAGGAGAGGTGACCCACCAACTACTGAATACTAGGAATCACATGGTTGGTAACTGTCTGACCACTCAGCATCATAACAGTTAAAAGTTTTTCCTAAGCAAGTGCTGGCATCTGGTTTATTTCCTGACAGTATGAGAAGTGTCAATACACTACAACTGTAATGAGCCGCTATCTTCACCTGGGGCTACAACTACCTCACCATCTTTATGATCTAGATCTGCTGTATAAGCCGACACCACGATTTTTGGGAATTTGGGGGCTTCCAACTTCGGCTTATATGCCAAGAAATACGGTACTTATGATATTGCCCATTATTACGACCATTATTACTTTGTGACTTTTTAATTGTTAAATCTGGATTCCTCACGCTTTTTTCACTAAAAAAAAGGAGTTAAAACGGTAATGTAAGCATTTTCATTTTTTAGTGACTTTTGGTGCTTATTGGGGAATACTGCCAAAATTGGCCAATGTGGTGAAAGGGTTAAGGTGAAACCATATGTCACAAACCCCAAACAATGCTGCTATTGTCAGATGTATGGCCATGTCAGCCACACTTGTCGTACGTTAGAGCAGGGTGTTCCTGCAGCAACTGTGTGTTAACTGTGGTAGGGGCCATGAGGTTCACAAATGTCCTGGTCCGGTCTGCTGTTTTCACTGTAGTGAGGTGCACCCGGCCTCTTCTAGTGAATGTGACTGTTTCAGAGTCGAGAAAGAGAGACTAAAGATCCGCACCAGAGACAAAGTGAGCTTTGCTGAAGCCAGAAGCACAGCACTGAGATATATCTCAAGTCATGGGGATACCTATATACAGGTTCTATCCCGACACAAGGCTCGGCGAACTGTTACTGTGACACCGCCCCGAAAATCATCCGTACCTGTATTGAATTCAGCTCCCACACCCGACTCTATGCCACCAATCCTCAGTCCTCAGACTTCTCTTGTAGTGGCTGAGGTCCATATGGATGAGGCGGGCACATCTGCTACTCCTCATCTTTCCTCCACCTGCCATCCTGGTGCTACAAGAATTTCAGCAAAAAACATTACAGAGTGTCCTCAGAGTCTCTGGAGGTAGACAATCCTCTGAAAAAGGTCTCGGTGGTAGAATCGTCTGACTATTGCACAGAAAGTGAGACCTGTTTGCTAGCTTCAGAACTTAATTCTCAGCCCCAGACACTCCAACAGATGTCAGCTCAGCCCGGCACCTCCTCAGAGATGCCAAATGATCTTCTTCCAGAAGTGTCTGGTGCCGAGACCCCAGCTAAAATAGAGCTGACAGGTGGGATCACCTCTATGGATCCTCCATCTTGGGAGCCATATCCAGGGGTTAATTCTGGTGTGGGTCCATCGGATGGATCTACATCTGTGGCCACAAAGCCACAGACACACCTCTCAACCCTGGACAGGACAGAAGGGCTCAGCCCCACACAAGTCCATCAACAGAGGGACTGTAAGAGGCACATGTCATGGTACACTCCCGGTGCATCCTCCAGGCTCCAGCTGAACTGTAAATGTGTGTTGGGGGCCGCACACTCACCTAAATAATGGTTGCCCCTTGTGAAAGGAGAATGGTCAGCCAAAGGGCCACCTAGGCCCAAATTTGTTTAAGGTGTAGAAGCTGTTGCCAACACAACAACCGCACCGTGAGTTAACGAGCTGCATGACACAGTGTCAAGGAACAGTCCGAGAAGACCGGACAACTTACCAACTGCACGGGCTAACCATTACTCCGGAATACAATACGCAAATCGATTAACATCCATGTTCCCAATTACTGCTGGTTAAGACAGAGGCAAATTGCATAAAGAAACCTGCCCATAGTTTCACCCTGTCCGGGATCGAACCTGGGTCGGCTCGCTTGTGAGGCGAGCATGCTAACCATTACACCACAGGTCGCAAACTCACCTACCCCTACCTAGATCCCAAATAATCACGGCTACGATAGTCCAATAGAATTATTGAGGCTTACAAGCCAACAAGGAGGAGCTCCAGTTGCTCCTGAGTAAATTCTCTCCTATATGCATTTGTCTCCAAGAGTCAAAGTTAGTTGCCTGTGATCATCCCTCTCCCAGAGGTTATTCATTCAGTTTATTATTCTCCTTATAATCCAGAACAGACGCATCATAGAGGCCCAGCCTTCCTTGTCTAGGACAAGTGTGGTGACAGCTTGTCAGATTCACCTCCAATGTACCTATACCATATGTTCCATTTACCTCCCTCCCAGGACACCAATTGTCAGGGAGAATTTGGTTTAATTAATTCATCAACTTCTTTCTCCTTATCTTATCCTCGGTGATTTTAATGGAAGGTATACCCTCTGGGGTGATACAATAGTTAATCCAATGAGTGACTTGATAGCTTTGATCATTGAAGAAATGGACTTGGGTATATTAAATACTGGTGATATCACCCACTGTCATGTCCAGAACCACACAACTACAGCCACAGATCTTTCATTATGCTCAGCAGACCCTCTACTGGACTTTGGGAGGAGAGTAACAGACAACGTCAGAGGAAGTGACCACTACCCTATTCTACTTTCCACCCCGGAAGTCCTTCCAACACCACAAGTTCCCCATTGGTGGTCAGACAAGGCAGACTGGGACTTATTCAAGGAACTAGTGAAGGTAGACAGGAGCATTGAAGAATTTTCATCAGTAAACAAAGCGGTTGAATACTTAGCCAGTCTCTTCCAATGGGCTGGCCACTGTACCATTCCTCGGACCTCTGATCGTGTAGCTCACCAACCTGTTCCTTGTTAGTCAGAGGAGTGCAGGCATTCAGTTGTTGTGGGGCACAGAGCTTATGGCCACTACTGGCATCACAGAACAAAATTTTATCATGTGGAATACAAACGGGTCAGAGCCCAAGCTCATGGAGTTTTAAAGAATGCCCATCACCAGTCATTTTATTCTTATGTCTCCTCTCTAAACAAAAAAAATCCCTTGTCCCAGGTACAGAAACGTGAGCTAACAATAGCAGGCAAGTTTTTATCTAATCTTCTCCCAGTTCTCAGGGCTAATGATGACAACTCAGTTGCTGCCCCTCAAGAAGTTGCCGAGTTTTTTGCCACAAAATTTGCAGGTGTGTCTTCTATGGCAGCTCAATCCTCAGAGTTCAAGCAGGTGTGTAGAGTAGAAGAGTCACGGGCCCTGGATTTTGGAGTGAGATGTGGCGAGACATACAACATCACGTTCTCAATGAAAGAAATGAGAACCACCCTCTCACTCACTGGAGACACTTCACCAGGGCCTGATGATATCCCATTTTTAATGATCCACCACCTTGAAGTTGAGGCACAGATCTTTCTATTGGAGATATATAACAGGATCTGGTGAGAGGGTGTCTTCCTGGCCTCATGGTGGGAGGCTACTGTCCTGCCTTTCAAGAAGACTGGTAAAGAAGGTGTTCACCCACTAGAATATCACCCCACAGCTCTGACCTCTTGTATCTGCAACATGTCTCAAAAGATGGTCAACTCTCCTCTCTTCTCACCCCCCCTCACACACACACCCATGCTCTTCATTTTTTCTTATTTTATAATTCTACTGTATTTTATTTTACTTTTCTAAGCCACAATATAGTACAGGTATATATAATCATGTACTTAATGGGTGATTTAAGGGATTTTCGAGGGTAATTTTGAATATTTGCATTTTTGCCTTTACGTGTCCTCTTGTAACCCCCGTGTAAGATGTGACCTGATTGTATTTATGTGCCTTTGTATGTGGTAGGATTGTAGTGATCTTTAGTGTATTGGATATTTATGCAACTACGTACAGTAAAGTGATATTGCCGTCAGCCGGAAAAAAATCCATCATCCCCGGAATTTTCTGGATAAAGGAAAATTGCTCTCGGAATTTCCAGAAAATGCACCTGTTTTTCATCTCTCATACCTGGAAAAAACTCCCCCTCCTCAGAATTTTCCGGGTATCGGGAAAATTGTCTCAGAATTTTTGGGAAAATGTGCCCCTCGGAAAATCTTTTTCAAAGCCGGAACTTTCTAGAAAATTCCGGCCTTGGGAACGATTTTCTGAGAAAACTTTAATTTCAGCCATCGGAGAGTTCCGGGTATGAGGGATTCCGGCTAACAGAGATATTACAGTATATTGTATAAGTGCGGCGACTGTTAAAGTTTGATTAACGTTGGTTGTTGGTATATGTTGTAATGTAAACTCTAACATGACCTTTACTACTCCTCTCCAATAGTAATATATAATACCTGAGTAATGAACAATATTGAAGGAGCAATAAACATTATCATGAGTGAACAGCCTGTCTGAGTTTGTTACCGCCCAGTAAGGTGTCTAGCTCAGGAATAAAATTCACCACATATTTTAAATTTACATGACCAAACCAGAGGCTGGTTTACTGAGCACAGCAAAACACAGATGTTACTTGACTCTTGCAGGAGACTGCACAGTACTGGAGTAGTGGTCTTCTGGTACAGTATTCATTTTTATTTATGATAACCATTTAAAGAAGTTAGTGATGTTGGGTTTAATATTTTAAGTAGAGAATCCATCAACCTTGAGGTCAGACAACAATATAGTGATGACTACTTCTCCATAATGTTACCAACCACCAGTGATGTTGTTTAACAATTTTTCATTGATTCTATTGCTTTCTTTTATCCTTCATTATTTCACCTTTCATTATTTCAGTGCAATGAAGTT